TTCCTTCTCTGCTGGTTTAGACAGTAGTTTCTTCTTATTCCAGCAGCTTTGGAAACTTCCACCCTCCTTAGCAGAATGGTTAGTTAACCTAAAGGCCACATGATCTCCTTGGTCCTCTAACACCTCCTTCCACGCTTGGTACCCACTGTTGAGTAACCTCTTCATATGGAAACCATTCTGAACCTTTTAGTCATTTTCACTGCTTGCCTCTAGCTTGTCTGAGTTTATTTTTATTTCTCTTTCCTTAGGGGTTAAATAGTGCATTCGGTGGAGGGAGAGGGCTGCTCAGCTCATTTTAGACCTTTGTGGAAATAGCACTTTCTTGCTGACCCACCACTTGCAACCAGCAGGGCTTATGACCTATTATCCAGCTTGCCTTGGGGTCTTCATTCGGCCTCTTACAGTAGTTGACTTGGTACTTTAACCTGTACAATTTAATGGGATTATTTCTAACTTTTTCTCCAATGTGTTACTTTCATTTTGAATTCTGATGTTTTACTGCATAAATTAGCTACCAAACCATGCCACCCTCCTTAACAAAATGGTAGATCTAACTCACCATCTCAACTTGCATCTGGTGTCAGGACTCTACTTTCCGAGTTATTAATCAGTTAGAAAGCACTCAGCCCAGGACTCAATACTGTCCAGCAATTCAAATTCCCCCTCTCATAACAGGTGTGGCATACTATCATATACTTTGTAGAAATAGAGTTTAAACCTTTCCCTCCTTTTTGGCTAACTTAGGAAACCTTCAGCACCATGGCTTGTTGAATTCTAGAGTTATGTACAGAAGATGTAGATGCCATAAATATGAACTGCTTTCTAAATCCAGCACAACAATAGACTTTGGTCTTTCAAAAAAAAATCCTTTACCAGGGTTGCCTCACTGCCAGACCCACAGCCTAGAGCTGAAAGCACTCATGAATTCTAATAGCAAGGCGGCACACACTCCAGCGGGGTTCTAATTGACAAAGAGGTGGAAAACTGAAACAAGAAGGCTAGGCTAGCGTGTCCTTCGGGCGGCTGGCCTTCAGCCCAGGCTCAGCAGTGCTTCAGGCTCCAGGCCAGATGAAGAATGTGCCCAGCAGTGCTGCTCCACACCCGAGCTGAGAGGAGGCATCCTTGGTGCGGCTGTCAAAGGGCTGTTGGACCCCCTACCACTGGCAGCGCAATTATATATGTGTGTGTATGTTTCAGCAAGCAAGATTCTCAGCTTTCATCATTTTCAAGGGGATCCACGAATCGCAGAGGACTAAGAAGTTTTACTAAACAGACAATAATCCAAACCTCCAAAACCAATCAAATAGATTGTTGAGAATTGATACAGCAAAAAAAAACAAATCAAAGAAAAGAGAATTAACATTTATCGAATGCTAATTATGCCAGAGACTCTTGAAGACATCACCTAATCCTTACAATGACCTTTAGGGTAAGCAGATGAGATGCTCAAACTCAGGTGTTGGTCAAAATCTACATATTCCAGCTACACAACTTACCTCTGTAAAGAATGAAAATAACCATTAAAGATCAATCAAAAATAAAGATAAGCAAGCTAAAACAACAGGGAAATGTGATTTGATATTTAAAATATAATTTTTATATATATAATAGAAAGTGAAAGTGAAGTCGCTAAGTTGTGTCCGACTCTTTGTGACCCCATGGACTGTAGCCCACCAGGCTCCTCCATCCATGGGATATATATATTAATTAAGAGCTTATCTGGTGAACAATTCTGATGATTTAGACCAGACTGGGATCCCAAGCATGTGGAATGGCCCAGGATGCAGCATCAAGAAGGAGTGGTTCCTCTTGAGCAGCAGCTTTTTGAGAAACTGAGGAAGACTTAAGTGAAATAGGTCATGAGGCCCTTCTTTACTGTTGGGTCTCTCATGGAATGAGGTCATGTGTTTCTGAGCCAAAAGATTTGGTTGAACTCAGTTTCCCTTCTGCATCTCTGTACTAAATAATGACAGTCATTTCACTTATACATATTTTATTAAATTAGTTAAGTTCTACTCTATTCTATCTCTGGACTTAAGTATTATTTTCTTTCTTTCTTTTTTTTTTTTTTTTTTTTTTTTAGACTTAAGTATTATTTTCTTACAAGACTTCTTAGCAGAGTTTAGGGACTACTCCCTCCACATAACTGAATGCTTAACTAACTGCCCAGTGCTGCTTTCTTACAACTGTAAATCCTGAAATCCACATTGGTCGTTGTTTTATGGAAAATATTATTTGAGGCTATTCAGCTTCCCTGCTGGCTCAGGTGGTAAAAAATTTGCCTACAGTGTTGGAGACCTGAATTTGATCCCTGGGTCGGGAAGATCCCCTGGAGGAGGGCATGGCAACCCACTCCAGTGTTCTTGCCTGGAGAGTCCCATGGGCAGAGGGGCCTGGTGGGCTACAGTCCATGGGATCACAAAGAGTCAGACTCAACTGAACGACTAAGCACAGCACAGTGAACATTTAAATAAAATGCTCACAAATTTCTAAAGTCTTCTCTATTCTTTTTCCCCCAGTATATCTGACCTAAAACAGTGTGACCATCTATTTGGAGTACTCTGTTCAGGGAGGGTGAGCAGGATTAATTCCTGTCTTGGTGTTGCAGTGTAAACAGCTTTTTGCCTGTCTTTTGTCATTAATGATCATGCTGTAGATGTACCCAGTGCATTGTAAGCCAATCTGTCAAGGCCAATAAACAATTCACCTTGTTAAAATTCCCTAAATCTTGCATTAATAAAACGAAAGTAACCCCCTGAACACTCAGGAGATGTCTTCCTGCATGCTACAGTGATGGATGACGTGTCTAAAGATCCTGGAAATTAAGTAGTTCAGGTCATTAAAAGTGTCCCACACTTGTTATTGATTTAATTTATTTTAAAAGGTGGGGGTGGAGATAAGAACGGTTACCCCCTCCCCTGTTGTGTTGTTGTTTTTTTTTTTTTTTTTAATCTGAAAGCTACCACTTGTTCATGTAATTAAAACTATCAGCAGGGAGAACGTCTCCATGTTTGTTACAACATGAAGCTTTATTATTCAAATAAGTATATCATCTTCTTAAACAGATAATCTACAAACAAGTAAATAATCATTGCATCTTGTATTATGGCAGAAATTCCTTAGAACCGCACATGTATCATGATTCCTGAAATCTTTCATTTCTGGGCACTGAAATAATGACCTTCTGGGTACCTCCCAAAATGTCCTCAGTTAGATAAAAATTTAGATGAAGGCCAAATGAATTGAAGGAAACTAACAGAAATAGTAATAGAAGTATGCCTCTGAATAAAGGACTTGTTTTTTTTTTTCTCTCCATTTTGCCAATTTTTCATTTTTCTACTTTATAATCAAGAAAAGAGTGAACATTTGAGAAAGATGAATGGATGGATGAGCGGGTGGGGGAATGGATGGATGCGAAAGTATTCAGAGGGTGCAGACCCTGTGTCACTATATTCTAAGGCAAGTTTAAGATATATGTGTTTGTGTTTACTTGTTGATCACCAGTTTTCTACACCAGTCCACTCCACTGGACACATAATATTCATTGCCATATCCCAGCACCTAACATAATAGGTGCTCAGTAAGTATTTGTTTAATGAATAAAGTATTACCCCCAATACCTTTTTTCTCTCTCTTCTTCATTGCTTAAGCTTCAGGGAGTACAGTGGGCTGTGTAAGGAATAGTAAGAGCCCCAGACAAGGTTGGTTCTTCAGCTGATGACTCCCCAGGGACCAAGCAGCAGGAGCGTTGAGCGCTAGAATCAAGCAGAGATCGGTCTGCTGAGACCGGTGACCTCTGTGGTAGCTCATTCCATTTATGTGTCCTGAACTGGGTAACAGAATTCCGAAACATGGTGAGAAATGGGGCAGCTCCAGATATAAATCATAACTAAACACAATACATTATGTAGAATTATGTGTATACAAGATACATGCAGTTTGATCTTACTTTTGTCATTTGTTGTATACCTTTTGCATCACCTTGCATAGCTATTCCTGATCAGTTGTGTGAGTGACATTTCACCATCAATTCTCATTGTTTTTTAAATAGTGTATGTATTAGGGTGAAAAAAAAAAGCCATGGTAAATTGCAAAAAATGACCCTTAAAATAGTTATATTAATTTTAGAAATTATTGCACAATGTTTGATGCTTTTTCCATGGTCTTTGTTTTTTTTTTTTTTTTTAAAGCGTGGGAGGGAGGTGCAATCATTTCTTTGGCAGACCCTTTCAAAAAATAAATATATATGAAAATGCACTCTTACAGTTCTCTATTCGATCCCTCCTGGAAATTGCATAATTTGGGTATTGAGAACTGACATAGTTATGCCATTATGGCAGCTATTTAGCAGAGCTCCCTAAATGGAAGAACTCTATAGATTTTTTTTTTCAGTATACACACTGATTTACACTTAGTGGTAAAATTGTTACTGACCCTTTAAGTGGAGCTGTCCAAATAGCAATAAATGTCAGTTGATCCTGTTGCTGAAATAGGTAATAGCTAAGAGATCTTGACTAAATCTTGCGGTTTAAAAAACCATATATAACATTTCCTGAACAATTGTGGTCTCTTATAGATACACACACACACACACAGTCAAACCGTTTCATCACTAAATAAAGAAAACTTGATGAAACTGTCTTAGCAGTATTGTTGGTGTTCCCAGGTTTTCAAGTACTCTGGATTAGAACCTCCTTGAAGGCAGGGAACTGTGTCTACCTGGTACCCAGCTGTCTTGCCCCCTAGTCAGCATCTAAAGTATAGAAAATGCTCCGTAAATGCTGGTTGGGTGAAGGAATAGATAAAAGGAGCATTTGCTGGCACCGAATAGCATGTGTATTGGCCTGAGTTCTTGGTGGGCGAAATAGGGACCACTCTCTTTTCACTTTTGAGTAATAACACTGGTAAGAATTTTGATGGATGGTTATGACTTTTCAGAATAGTTTATTTGATTGATTGTCTAGCAGACTTCACTTTCTAATTGTTTTCTACTTTCACAGGCTGTCATTCTGGAAAATGAAGAACTTCCTAAACTGTTTCTTGATTTCCTAAATGTGCGACATTTGCCCTCTCTACCAAAGACAGAGAGTTGTGGGTAAGAGTTGTTGTTGTTTACCTATTGGATTTGTACTTTAAGTTGCTTTGCAATCACTTATTGGCCTAACAAATAACCCTAATGATGCCAGAAGGGCCAGCCTGGGCACACCCATTCTTCTGGCTTGGGACAGCACTCGCTCGCCCCCTACTCGTAGTCAAAGGAATTGCTCTTGAGTCCTCATCTCCATATTGTGGCCAGGGGACCAACTAACTTGGGTTTAGACGTGAAGAATTGACTTTTTTAATTATTCAGTTACATGGAATGATGTCACATGATGGGAATTACGACTCTCAATAGCCTGCTCAAGAACTGATGTGTTTATTTGTGGGTTTCTCTGGTGGCTCAGCTGGTAAAGAATCTGTCTGCAATACAGGAGACCCTGGCTTGATTCTGGGGTTGGGAAGCTCCCCTGGAGAAGGGATAGGCTACCCACTCCTGTATTTTTGGACCCCCCTGGTAGCTCAGATGATAAAGAAAATGCCTGAAACGCAAGAGACCTGGGTTCGATCCTTGGGTTGGGAAGATCCCCTGAAGGAGAGCATGGCAACCCACTCCAGTATTCTTGCCTGGAGAATCCCCATGGACAGAGGAGTCTGGCCAGCTACAGTCCATGGGGTCACAGAGTCAGACACGACTGAGCAGCTAAGCACAGTACATGTTTATTTGTGGATACTTGGGCAAAGTCTGTATCCCCTCGACACATTTATTCATGTAAGTTTAAAGCTGTAAATGATCTTAAAATTTTTACCCAACTCCCTTCATTTTATAGTTGAGCAAACTGAGCCAGAGAAATAAAGTGCCTTTCCCCAAATTTCCTGCCTTGTAGCTGGCAGAGCCCAGGTCTGTGTCATAAACTCTTTTCCTGCCTCCCTGCTGCCTCCCTTAAGAACTTCTGAATGCAGAGCTGCATATCCTAATCTCTCTGTACCACGAAACCAGACATTTTATATCAGCAGCAATCGAGAAAAGTTCTTCCGAAGAGTTAACTCTGAACCAAGCCACTCACTCAGCTCTGGGCATCTGTGATGATCTGACCTCCAAAGGCCATCAGCAACACCCCTGACATATTAGATCTAGTCACACAGAACTCCATCGTCACAGTCTCTCTGCAGATCCAAGTTGGGGAGAGTGTTGGATCCATTTGCTTGCTGTCTCCAGACCTGCCTGAAGGACCCACACTTGCTGCAAGAGTTAAGCTAACCACACCCAAAGACATGTTAAACCCCAGCCGTCTGCTGGTTGAGAAGTCGCTAAGACCTTCACAGCCTCTCACTGGTAGCGTCCACTCAAGGCCACTTTTCAGTCACCTCAGAACAAGAACTATATACCCCACTCGCCAAATCACATACATGGCCGGTGTGTTCCCGTTTCAACTTGGTGCATTTGCTGAGATGTTGGGCTTCATATGTGGTTATGTATTTTTAAGAAGAAGTAGTGGGAATGAAGTGAGTAAAGTCTTTTCTCCATTATATAAGTCCAAAAGGAAAACTGTAGGATTTTTGAGTGATCTTCTTCAGGAAAACTGAAATACAAGAATATTAACATCTTAGGATTGATTAGGAGGCAGCATCAGCCATGCTGTGACTCTGTGAAAATACCAAAGTCTCTTTCTCAAAATGTCTGCCAATTTAGAGCTCTGAGAATACTAGCTATATCTTCCTTTGTTAGCATAAACACTGACCCCGCTTTTGTTGTCTTTTTCTTTTCTTTTCAAAAAATTTTAGATCTTTTGATGAGACAGAATCTGAAGAGTCAAGGTAAGAACAAATAACAGTCAATCGGGAGTTACACAAACCAAGAATAGGACTGTGGTTTTGTTAAATGTTTCATTACCATCATCTGATTGTTTCAAGTCAAGATTTTCTTTAAAATCTCTGATAGAAAATTCATTTTAAAATGACAGATCTTTGATGGGAAGTTACAGAAGTGGCCAGTTCTATTTAAGGGTGAAGGAATAAAACCCTACATTGTTTCATACATGAAATAAGAATACTATTTAATCAGTAGTCACACTACAAGATTTCAAAAAATAAAACAGTTTGCATCAGTGATTTATTGTATATCTGCTTCCGATTCCACAAAGACATGAATGGAAGATGAGCACGCTGCTGGTGATTTGCTCCTCCAGCTCTGCTTGCTATTATTCACCCACACGCCGTTAGATACACAAACCTTGAGATGTCCCCGCACAGCAGTTTGATCCCCTCAAAGCTAGTTTGTAGTGTTTTCTGTTTACCGTCGTCCCCTGATGCTGACATGCCTGTTCTTGACCTTTCCAGCAAACTGTCCCACCAGCCGGTGCTGCTGTTCCTCAGGGATCCATACGTCTTGCCTGCAGCCAGCGGTAATCAAACCTGTCATCTGCTAACAGCTCTTTACTGATCTGACCCTGCAGCACATAAACCACGTTTTTAATACAGGTCTAACAGAGTGACATTGGTCCAGGGCTTAATAATCTGCCAATAAACCAGTGCTCTTGGTGTAAGAGACATTCAGAATTTTAATTGGGGCAGGCCTTTCAAGAGGAAATGTAATTTTTCTTTCTCTCTCTCCAGGCTGTTTTGAATTAGAGTGATAAGGGGGTAAAGGTATTAATTTGAGGGATGGTGTTATTTTGGACTATGCCAGTTTTTATCCAGATGCTAGGGTTTGAATCCAAGGCCCTTGTCTTTTTTTTTTTTTAATGCTTCTTTCCCAAAATTGTGTATAAACATTGCATGTGTCTCCATTTCCACCTTAGATTACAGCATCTTTGACAGTCAAATATACCTTTTTAAAGCTTGTATGTTTAAGTATAAGGGATTAATTTAAGTGTAATGCCGTATTTTAGCCCAAGTCCTTTCTTTGTGCCAAGAAATTTAAATTATTCAGAGTCCCTCTCAAAGTGTTCTGATATTCAGCTCTTTGTGAGTGTATTCTCAGACATTGTCTCATTTAATTTCCTTAACCACCTTAGGAAATTGGCAGGGCAGCTATCATCATTGGATCTTGAGAAAAGTGGATCTCAGGGAGGTCCCTGACTTGCCTGGTTTCACAGGTCTGGGGGATGGCTCTCTTTTTGCCCAATCTCTCCTGTGCTCTCTGCATATAGTGGATTTGCAGCCTTTGTTTCTGCGAGTAAGTAAATAGCATAGCAGCTAAATAGCAATAGATAGATTATCTGTGGACACCTTTCCTACATTCTGGCAATAAAACCTTATCCCCAGCAAGAGACAAGGGACTGTTCTCCTGTGCTCAAGTCAGCCACTTGCTCTCCATTTAAAGAAGTCTGGCTCAGACACAGCCCTGCTCTGTGGAGGGACAATTCTAGAAGAAAGCTGCCTTTTGTCATGTGACTGTATACACATATGGTCTTGTAATAGTATTTTCCCTGTAAAATTCTTTCAGTGAGGAATAATTACCTTTCTTTAGCATTTGCTTCTAATGTGCACCAAATATGCCTGGTGTGTTAGGTTGATATTATGTTAACAAGATGTTACATTTAACAAATATTCATTATGTAGCCTAATGTAGAGTAAATGGGCAGTAATTTATAAAGTAGTCTTTCTAGCTTTTAATAATGGTTCCACAAGCACTCTCTCCAAGTATTGTTTCTGCTCAGATATTTTGTGCATTTGACTCAAATTCCTAGAAAAGTGTAGAGTAGAGTGATCACCGTGGACTAGAGTAGCCAGTTTGCTATCTAGAGGAGGGAAGATATTTTGTGGTCTTTGAACTCGATTCATCCAGGTTGTTAAGTAGCATGTGCTATGCACTTGGCTTGACCATGAAGAATGGCAGAACTCTCTGGGAAGGAGTATCAGGGACCAAAGTCCGAAGCTGGAAAGAGTAAAAAGTATGGATCGTTGGTAGAATGTTGATGTAGTGGAATGACTTGCACCAAAAGGGAATTCCTGCTTGAGAGTAAGTGAAAATCATGAATTTGATGTAAAGGATGGAAGTAGGTGTGAGAGAGCCAGTCACTAAATCTCCTTTCATGGAACTTTGGCTGGACCCGTGTCATAAATCAGATTCCTATTGTCTTAGAGGTATTATACTAGTGATGCATTCTTGCAGTTCTTTAGCATTTAATTTAAAGATAAATTTTACTTGTGTCGCATATTCACATTGTATGGTTTCTTAGCAAAATGTTGAGGTTACTTTTCCAGAGGATACAGAATCTGGAAACACTTTCACACAGACACTGAGACCCATAAAGTCAGAGGAGTGTCTGTCTTTAAAATTTTGGCAGTTAAGCGGTGTCCTCTTCTAAAATGCTAAAGATCAAGCATTATTCCCCTAGCATGTGGTTTTGGGCCTTTGTTCAGGCTTTTCTGGGGAATTCCTGGTAACTCTTGTCCAGGTCCCCAGGGCCAGCTGTGTGGCTTGCGCTCTGTGGGCTTTCTCAGCCCGCTTCCTTGGCCTCTCAGCTTTAGCCACTGGTGACCCCGTTCCCTGTCCTCAGACACCACCTCCCCTTGGTTTTCCCACCTTTCTGCTCTTCTTCCTGGTTCCGGCAGCTCTCCTGAAGGCTCTCCTCGACTCTGCTGTTCTACTTTTACTTTCTTTGGAACAATCTCCTCCTTGCTGTGGCCTTGAAAACCTTGAGTGTACAGCTGAGTCACAGTATTAATTTTCCATCTGAACCCTCTCTGTGAGCCCCAGACTTGCGCCATGGTTGACATGGCCCCTCCATGGGCTGGCCCTGGCTCATGTTCCTGCCGGGACGCCCTCACACACTCTGATCCCGCCACACTGCAGTTTTTCCTGGGTCCCGGATGTAGTGAATTCTCCCCTCAGGGTGCTTGCCGTTTCTTCTTTCTTGCCGTTTCTTCTTTCTCAAACCCGCTTCTCATTCTCACACATCGTTGGCCTTCTCCTCTTTCAGGTCTAACTCCAGGAAGCCTTTACTGATTCTCCTTTTGAGTAACCTCCAAGAGCACTTCCACCCTGTTCACTATTTTTTTTTTAATAAGCTTCACAATAAATGTTTCTAAAAATAAATGAAAACCAACAAAAATCACAATAAAACCTACCCTAAATCACATTCCTTCTCATCACCTCTCAGTGAGACGCAAAGGCAAGGGCAGTTTTCTGAGTAATTCAGGCAGTCATGGAATAATTAATTGCTTGTGTATTAAAGATATTTTTAAACACATTTTGTTTGTTTGTTCACTTATCTCCCTGACTAACATGTAAGTTCCATGGCTTAGGCAAGCACTGTTACTTATATCCCCAGTAATTAGGCAGTGTTTGGTATGTCATAATAGCTGGTACTTACCCTGTGCCAAGTTCAGGTCCAAACACTTTGTTTCATTCACCGATTTTTACAGTGGCCTCCTCGGTAGGTATTGTTGTGAAATCCTTCTTCACTAGTCCCACCGAATCCGTCACCACCTTGCTCCCGAACTGCTGTCTGAATGCCAATCACAGACAACTTTTCAAAACAATTCATTTCTGTCTCACTTTGTTTAACGTCCCTCCATAGCATCTCCTTGTTTTTCAGATAGAGCCAGATTTCCTGATTTATCAGATTTATCAGATAAAGCAGGTCTCTGAACCCTCCACAGGGCACCCACCTGCCTCAGACTTCATAGCCGGTCAGCTCCCTCTCCCCAGCTCTCTCCTCTAAGAGCCTCTCTATTCCCCTGATGAGGTCCAATGCCCTTGTAAGTGGTTTTATGTAGTGGGTCCTCTGTACAGGTTGAATTAATAAGTGAACATACTTAGGAATCTCTTGCTTTCCTCATATAATAACTACATTTATGTAAATCCTGGGTATAATTATGTGTAGATGTGGTAGATTGGTTCCCTGTTCAATTTATCCATTCATGTCTTACCTACGCTGATAACTAAAATGTGATACAACAGAAACTACGCCCCTGAATTTCCTTTGTGTCTCCTATAAAAATGGAGCTGATTTTTCAAGTTTGACAAAGGGGGCCTTTTGTCAGAGATTGGCCCTTTTACATTAGGAAGACAGGCTCACATCCTCCTGCTCTCTAGAAACTAGCGTAATAGAACAAGCAGATTCAAGACACCTTGGGCTAAACGCTGCTGTAAACCATGATGGAAAAACTGCCGCAAAGTATTCCCAGTAGAAATCTTGGAATTCCTTCAAGTATATTGAGATTTTGTTAGAAATTGAATTGCCAGTGTAATCTATCTTCCTTGTGAGAAAACATTCAGATAAAGAGCTGGGGCCTGGCAGCATTAACCATTAGAACATCCCTTAAATCAATAAGCTACAAATCTGGCTGCGCATTCCTGCAGCTCGCAGTGGTACCCTCAAGTGACTCGAGGCCAAAGCAGCATGTCTGATGTCACGTCTGAAACAAGGGCAAACTATATGGTGATACACACCTCTAAGTTATGCCTAGGCCTTACCTTGTGATGTTCTGCAAAATGCCTGTATGTTTCATTGATGTGCATAAGAAAATCAGTTTTCCTTTTGTTTTTCAGATTTTCCAAATGTGGTTATTGAAGGAGTTCTCCATGGGATATTTTACCCTCATCTACAGCCCAGGTAGAAATCCTCCATGGCTAGAAGAAGCTGAAGCAGGTTTCGAAGTCATAGTCAAGGAAATCGATACCTACCAAATTAACCTAAACTCTATGACATAACGGCTCTCTCACTAGTGGTAAAATTCACAGTTCCAGCTTAATTCAGAGCAGGGACATTTCCATTAGAATGGTGCTTTTAAAAATAGAAGCCGAATTGGGGCGGTGCTGAGGTTAAGGCCAAGTGTTTAAGAAGTAGAATGTAGCTGCCAATTTAGAAACCCCGGGAAAAGAAGACTAAAGAAGACCTTTGGGACCTCCAAGTGTAGCAAAACACTTCCTCTCCACTTCAGTCACACCATTTGCTAATTGAAAATCTCACCCTGAATCATTGTGAGACTGATCAGCTTTGGTAGCTTTTTTTGTTCAGATTCTATGGCACACTAATCTTTTCATCCTGAGATTTTTTTCTCAGCCAATGATAGATAACATTCTGAAATGCTGGCACCAGGAGAGTATTACAGAAACACACTGCTAAATGAGAGGAAGGAGCTGAACTGGACATGAAATTATACTGACCATACTAGGGCATTTAAAAAATCATGGCATTTTAATTTGCATTACAGTGGAGTTGCATCATATGCAGGGATTAGCTTCAAATGTCAGCACATAAGATAGAATGAGGGTCTCAAGATTATCCTTGAAAGCCCTTTAGAATGGTGCCATATTGGAAATCTCCATCCACCACAGCCAGTTTTTCCTCCAGTGTTGGAAGAGAGAACTGTTGAAGACCAATTAAATTTGTTGATGTTTGTTCAGGCACCATTTTGTAGAAGAAACACATGCCTTTAAACACTAGAATTATACTTAGCCTTGCAAGATGCTTGCCCTATAAAAGGTAAATGTGACCTGACAGTGACTAAGGGAACACCAGATTGATAACAAACACTCATCTTGGTCTACTCAAGGGCATCCATTCATTGAATAGGTGGTATAGTTGCCAGATTGATTGTTATCTTCCTTATTGCTTATGGTTTCCTTTTCACTGACCTCATATTTTGCATTAATATAAATTAAATGGGTTTATGATGCACCTCCACTGTACATCTTACAGACATTCAGATTTTGTCTAATAAAGGATAAAAGCATATATGCAGCCTGTGTATGTGTGCTGTATTTGGGCATTTCCTTGAAAACTAGTTAATAGCTAGCCTATTTATGATTATTAGCTTAATAAGCTTCTGTGTAGGAGAAAAATATTTAAATTCAAAACTAATAAGTAGATCATGGTTTTTGACTAAGCTCTAAACATACAGGTTTAAAGCTTGCTGCAAATTCTTAATGATGTATTTATGCTAGATGTGTGACAACATGGGAAAGAAAGTAAGAATTGAATAACCAAGTGTCATCAACCAAAAATGACTGAAGAGTCAAGTGTTGGAGATTTTTTTAACATGTTTTTGTTATTAGCTATTTTGAGTTAAATAAAAATGAAGAACCCAATGTATTTGAATATGTCTTCTACTGCCAGAATCTTATAATGGAGACACAAACTGTGTCTTTTCTTTTTACTCACATGCACACACACAAACCTTCTCTCATATTCATATAAACATTTATTGCTTATCCAACAAGGTAAGAGTTAAATTACCTCACCTATTAAGCCAGTAGGTATGCATTAAATAATTTATTTGCCAAGATAAGTAAGAATTTAAAAAAAAAAAATAAAGATCAACCGTCATTGGTGACATACTACTGAAGGAATCTTTTGTGAGAATTAAAATCTTTTTTAGTGATGACTTTCATTTTTAATTTTAATTTAAATATTTACCCTGTCCTCTCATGTTTCATTTCAATTCCATTACAGGAAATAGAAACCACAGCTACAGTAGGTGTTTTAAGCAGAATGGAATCATAAGAAGCAGTGATTGCAGAATCTTTTAGAAGGATGCAGGGAATGACCTCCTGTGGGCCTCTAGGCACAGTTTCCAGAATGCCCCAGCAATTTCTAGTACCCTCCTGCCAGGGGAACTATAACGTCTGTCTTAAGGAATTCAGGGAGCAGAGAGGCTGCTATGGAAGGTATTGAGGTCAAAAACAGCACATGTAGTTGTGATCCAGGGAGCAGCACACAGATTCAGGAGGTATCTGTTACCGCCGTAGCTGCCCCATGGCAGCACCCTGGAAGCTGGTGACTGGGCATAAGAACAAGTGTCCAGCTGTCACCACCTATACCGCCTCTCAACACCCATGGCCTAGCTTGTCAGCAGTCACAGCACAAAGCAGCAGGATGATGACATTCACCCACTTCCGTCTTCTTGTCTATAGCTCATGAAAGCACATGCAGTTGGCAGAACCTTCTTCTTGATCCCCAACTTCAAGGGAGTCTGGGAAGGAGTTGGAACTTCCTGGTCTCAGCAGCTCAGACATGCATGTTGGAAAGAGGATGGAATGTATTTCCACAGTCAAGATTTTAATAAAAACATATAAAAAGATAGATAAAAATCTTCTCCCATCCTGTCTCCTCGATTCCCAGGTCCCTTCCTAGAGACACCACTGTATTTGGTTTATGTGTGTACTTTCAGAAATTCTCATCCACCTGCAAGCAAATACTGTATGTTTAGGGTACATGTATTCTTCTGTTTCTCCATTTTTATAAGATGGATTTTTCATATCATGGATTCATAGCCAGTAAAGAAGTAAGGAGTACAGAGAAGAAAAGAGAATAAAGAAAAGGAAAAGAAGCCCTCTTACCACTTAAGCCAGGATATAGAGACAGCCCTCACACTCCCTCAATCCCCCGGTTCTTGGATCTGGTGCTTTGCTTGGAGCTGTTCTCAGAATGGTTCCCCACCTGCCCATTGCTATTTAATGAAGAGCCCTTCTCAGACCTAACCTCTGCCATCTGGCCAGTTTGTATATGGCAGCCCTGATATCCTTTCTCTTGGTGTCCTTCCTCCTCCTCTGCCTCTCCCCCATTTCAAGCAGCGGGCTGTGTATACAGTCCCAATAGCACTGTGACCATCCCCACATGGTAAATTCTTCAGTCATTTCACTTTGAAAAGTGGATAAGTCTTACGATCACAGTTTAGGAACAACAAAGGGCTTTTATCTCATTTGTCAACTTGGTCATTTGATAATGGCTGTCTAAAGTTCTCAGGTAAGAATTCTGACTCATCAACCAGAGTGGATACTATCCAAAACAAGCAGAAAGTAACAAGTGTCAGCAAGCATGCAGAGACCTGGAAACCCTTATATGTTGCCAGTAGGAATGTAAAATGGTGCAAACTCTAGAAAATAGTATGGCAGTTCTTTAAAAAATTAAACTTAAAATTACCATATGATCTAGCAATTCCGTTTCTGGATATATACTACCCCCCCGCCAAAAAAAAAAGTGAAAGCTTTTCACTTGAACAATTTTTTCTACAACCAAGTTACAAATGAGTTTCACAGTAACTAAAAGATGGAAGCAACCCAAGTGTCCACTGATAGATGAATGGATAAAATGTGGTCTATACATACAGTGGATTATTCAGCCTTAAAAAGGCAGGAACTTCTGAAACCTGCTAAAACATGGATAAATCTTGAAGATATTATGCTAAGTGAAGTCAGCCAGTCCTGAAAGGACAACTGCTGTATGATTCTACTTATTTGAGGTACCTGGAATAGTCAAAATCCTAGAAACAGAAAATAGAGTGGTGGTTGCCAGGGGCTGGGGGTAGGGAGAGATGGGGAGTTAGTGGGTTTAGTGGGTTAGTGAGTTAGTTGGGGAAGGTAAAGTTCCAAAGATGGATGGTGATGATGGTCATTGCACAGTGGTATGAATGCACTTAATGCCACTGTTTAAAAAAAAAAAGATTAAAACTAAATTTTATACATGTATTTTACCACAGTTTTTTTAGAATAGACTTAATGAGTAAGGGTGTGGCAACCAATTAAGTAATATTTGTCAAGGGTGCTATTCTCATATCCCTGGTAACCTATGAGATTCTAAAAACAATAGTTCTGAACCAAAGATGTGTATCAGAATCACCTAAAACTGAATCAGTAAATCGGGGAGGGGGGGGGCGGCCTGTCCATGGGTACTTAGAGAAACTTCCCAGTTGATTCTGACACATACTTAGGTTAGGAATCACTCTTTGATGCTTTGAGAGTGTGAGATGGTTTATGAACTCCTCTTCCCTGGTGATTATTGACTTCCCTACCTCCTGCAGAATCTACTATGAAACACGAAGATTTAACTCTCCTAGTATTGCATGTAGCCACGGGTTGGAGAAGCTTATCTCTGTTCATTCTGGCTGCGGTAACAGAAATAGCATAGACTGGGTGGCTTGTAAACAACAAATATTTATTTCTGTCAGTTCTGAACTCCGGGAAGTACAAGATCAGGGCACATGTAGTATCTAGGAAGGGGCTATGTTTTCCCTGTGTACTTACGTGGTGGGAAACTTACCAGGGATCTCTCTGGGGCCTCTTTCACAAGGGCACTAATCCCTAATCGCCTCCCAAAGGCTCCACCTCCAAACTCCATCACTTAGGGAATTTGATTTCAGCATATTAATTTGGGGGAGTGGGTGTGGACCCAAACATTCAGTCTATAGCAGGATTCTTCAAAGAAGCAGAGAGGATGACAAACAAGCTTGGGTAGTGGTCTCAATTGATACCATATAATCAATATATATCTTCATTTATTCATCCACTCTTTAAATGAAATTACAGCATGGTGTTAGTTATCCAAAGAATAAAGACATAATCTTTGTTTTCCAGAATTTTTAGCCATTTATGAGGGAGTATCTTTCCATTTAACTGAACTGGATATAAATTTCAGTGATTAAAACTATCTTCTCCAGCCTTTCTAACTCAGCTTTGAAATGATCATTTTTCATCTCAGCTTTGTTTCAGTTTTCATCCTTGATGATAATGATAGATTTCGAGTTCAGCAGCAGAAACCCAGGAAAGTAACAGACGGTAACTCAAAACAGAAAATTCTGCAACATTTATGTTTTCTGTCCATGAAGATGCAGAGTGATGGTCTGGATTCTGAGGGTGAAGAGGTGTTTATTTTTGTGTGGAAGGGAGGAGGGCACTTTGAAATGTTGTCTTTGGAGTACACGTAATTGACTAAAGAAAAATCTTGTTTTATATTCTCAGAGTATAATTGTAAATCTGACCTATAAGATGTGAAACATTTTCAGTCTTCTTTTACTTGAACATCAGCCCTGGTGCCATCAACAGTGTCTCCAGCTCTGATCATCTCTTCCCTTAGATGCTCTTATGTACTGAGTACCTCTGGGTGTCACCTGTTGTGATACTAAGGCTTTTCATACTTGATCTCATTATAACTTGACACAGCTTTTACAAGCTTTTATAGAAGAAGAAACTGAAGATCAGAGAGATTAATAAGTAACTAACATGATAAAGCACTAATCTGGGCTAAATTCTGTCCATGGATCATCCCATAAAAGCCTTCCAGCATCTTCCTGAGGTATGTATTCTTATTTTTCCATTCTACAGTGAAAAACATGAAGGCTAGAAAGGCACACTAGCTTGACTAAGGCCACCAGGTTATAAAAGGGATCAGGATTTGCACTGATCATCCACAAAATTCGGGCTCACTCTCTCCCCCATCAGCCTCCCGTTAGAACTGTTTTTTTAAAAAACGAATGTGCATTTTTGAATCACATATGAATACTTAAGTCAGAAAAGTATTGTGACAGTTGCTCGTATTTCTACCCTCCATTATAAACCAGAGTGCTTTTCCATCTCCCTTGATTAAACCAGGGGAGTGCTCTTGGTTTAATGAGCGCTCTGTGCTGTCTGCTGCAGCATCCTCTTGGGCCCCTCTCTTTCCACTTTCACTGTAGTCTATCCTTCACACGAGAGCCAGAGCCATCTTTTTGACATGTCCATCGGGTCATGTCACTTGCTCAAAATTATCCAGTCGCTTCCACCCCCACTTAAAATGGAAGCTTCTGCCACCCTATCCAGGTACCTCACGCTCCTCTTCCTGGTACTTATCTCACCAGTGATGCTAGCCTTTCTGTTCCCAGGACTTGCCAACCTTGGTTCTTGCTCAAGCCCTTTGACCCTGCTGGTCTCTCCCTGAAACACTCTTCTCTCATCGGAAGGCTGGCCCACTCTCACCTGTTGGGCCTCAGCTTAGAGCTTGTGTAGCACCCCAACTCTCACCTTGCCCCCTTCTCTCAGAGCACACTGGTACCATCTTCATCTGTTTACTTGTTTAATGTCTTTCTCCGCAGGAAAGTGGAGAGAGCTGCGTGAGGGCAGGGGCAGCATCTGACCGCTTACCCCGTTTCTCAGTGCAGAGACGGGCGGATCCCAGAACCACTGTCGAAGGAGTAGGTGGCCAGCAGCCTGTGTTCCCATCCCGTCACCCAGCTCAGCGCTGGCTATGCGTGCGTCACAGCAGGGCCTTCAGAAATGTTTGTGGCCTACATAAATGGCCTTGCAGGCAGGATTTGCTCACATCTTCCCAGAATCATTTGCATAATTATTCATTACCTCCTGTTTGTTCTAAAACAGTGTTTTCCTACACTTTGCTCACCAATTTGATACAAGTTCGAATGGCTCGAATGATTTCTTAAATGTCTGTCCTTTACAAATGCATTACCAAGCTAATTGAGTGATTAAAAACCGTGGTTTTGTGACATCTCGGGGCAGTGGTTTTCGAAGTTCAGACCTTGGATCAGCAGCAACAGCGTCACCTGAGAACTTGTTAGAAGTACACATTCTCAGGCCCTTCCCTGGACACTTGCAGAGTGGGACCCAGAAATCTAACAAGCCTTCCAGGTGATTCTGACGCGCACTAAAGTTTGAGGGCCACAGCCCTTCGTGCTGCATTTTTTTTTCAATGCTTAAACTTTTTTTTTTTAATTGAAAAAACCGCAATACTTCTAGAAGGAGCAGGCACAAAATCAGACAATGCCAGAGGGTCACTACAAAAGGCTGATAACGCCTTTAAGATACCAGCCCATTAGCAGCTTAACAGAACCAAAAAGGTATTTTAAAAGTAGTAAAAGATAAGAGATATCTTGCACTTAGAAACTATTTTCTTTTACATGAGCTTTTATATGTTGGTATCATAATTTTTTTCATCACATAAGGCATCATGATGTTATAAATCTGTGATATCTTTAAATGTGAATCTGAGTAAACTAGAATCCTTGACTTCATGGAATTTATAGAATAATGTCATATTGGAGGGATAAATAACCCCCCAAATGTGTCGAGGTGAAGTGTGTTACATGCTATAAAGGAAAAATAAAGAGGTTTACTTATGTGCAGGGAAGATAATCTAATTCAGGCTTGGGCGGGTCAGGAACCTTCTCTGAGGTAGTGACATTGAAGTAGAGACATAAGAATGTTAAGAGGCATTAGCTGACAAGAATTGGAGGTGGGGGCAGGGGGTCGCAGAGACATCACCAGGTTCCAAAGCCCAAATGAGGAAAGAGCATCAGTCAAGGTCCCCAAGGAAAGCTAGTGAGTTAGAAAGATAGTGAGGGGCTGCGGCTGGATCCCACAGGGCCCTCCTTGCGACGTGGAGGAGTTTGGTTTACAGCCTGTGTGCCATGGCAAACAACTGGCTGGTGTCACACAGGGGGGGATATTTTATTTTATTCAGCTTTATTGAGGTATAATTGACAAACAATCATTTGTTTTGGTTTTTATATACCCATTTATTTTTCTTGATCAGGCAGTGAAATTATTAAAAATAGGAATTTTTAAAAAAATCCTTCAACTCGCAAGCATCAGCAAATAACATGTAATTTAGAATAAGGTATATGATGTATCACACTTGATCTGATTTATTCTTAAAAGCTCATTCTGGCCACCTGTGGAGAATGAACTGACTGGACAGGTGAAGGATCGGAAGCAGAGAGACTGTTAGGGGGTGACTTGAATAACTTGGATGAGAAGTGGCCTGTTTTAGGGGGGTGACTGTGGAGAGGCTGAGACGGATATTCAATATGTATCGAAGAGCAACCCATGAACTTGCTGGATTGGCATGGATGGGGACGGTAAAAGGAAGGGAGAAAGAAGTTGGTAAGGGTGGGTTGGTTGGAATAACTGGTTGGATGATAGTGCCTTTCATTGATTGGATCTTGGAATGGGAGGTTGGGACCTGCTATAGATTGAACATTTGGGTCCCCTACCCCACCCAAAGGCTTCCCTGGTGGCTCAGATGGTAAAGAATCTGCCTGTAATGCAAGAGTCACGGGTTCAATCACTGGGTTGGGAAGATCCCCTGGAAGAGGACATGGCAATCGACTCCAGTATTCCTGCCTGGAGAATTCCATGGACAGAGGAGCCTGATGAGGTCCAGTCCGTGGGGTTGCAAAGAGTCTCAGACACAACTGAGTGACTAACACCCCCACCCAAATTCATATGTTGAAACCTAGTCCCCAGTATGATGGTATTTGGGAATGAGGCTTTAGAAGGTGATCAGTTCTCAAGTGTGGGGAATTCACTTGTCTCTTTTACCATGTGAGGACACAGCAAAAAGATGGCAGTCTTGGAACCAGTGAGAGGGCATTTACCAGACTCCAAATCTGCTGGTGCCTGCATCTTGGATCCCAGTCTCCAAAATGGTGAGAAATAGGCATGTGTTGTTTATAAGCCCTGCACCTCCCACCGGTCCAAGATGTTTTGTTGTAGCAGCCTGAACTACATAGGACCCCTATCTCCAGGGAGCCCCAGGTTCCTGGATAAATCCTCTGCCAGGTCGTGGTGGCCCCTGGTTTGCCGGTTAGTGTCTGCCCAAGCCTGGAAGCAAAACTAGATGCAACACTGATGCAGTGGCAGAAGGAAACTAAGCTAGATTTTCCTCATTGTGGTGATAGGGTTACGCTGCTGACCTACCTCTGACTTCATGCCTGGTTCACAAGGGTCAGGAATATGCTCCAAAGCAGGAACAAAGCCAAGCACAGACAGCAGGCCTGTGACTTTGACCACGAAGGACTTCCTGTGGCTGCCTAACTGGGTTTACACGTGGTGAGTGGTGTGATTGCACAGTTTTCTCAATGAGCCACATAAAGGGTCCAACAAATGAGGATTCAAGTGAAAGGTTTCCAAAGTGGACACCATGACTTCCCAACAAAGTACCAACAACTCAAGAGAGAGTGGTTTCTCACTGCTTCTCAGGTCAAATCCGCAGTGCTTAGCAGAGGCCTTGGCTTCACCAACTGCTGGCAGCTGGGCTTGCTCATGACCAAGGCATGTCACCCAAGCCAGCTCCCACCCTCCACGGGCACTGCCACTGAAGGCTCGCCACCTTCTGGGGCTGTCCCCTTACTGCTCAACACCCATGTCACTTTTGCCAGTCTATCTCTGTCATGCCCTTCTAACTTCAATTCAGAAAATAAAGAGGAAAAAATTTTCTTTTTTTTTTTTTTAACATAATAGTCTTTGAAAAATAGTAGAAGCAGTCCAAAGACAAATGCCAGTGTTGAACAATCTTTCTTAGTCCTGGGTGGGTGGGTGTTAGTCACTCAGTCGTGTCCAACTCTTTGTGACCCTGTGGACTGTAGCCCACCAGGCTCCTCTGTCTGTGGACTTCTCCAGGCAAGAATATTGGAGTGGGTTGCCATTTCCTTCTCCAAGGGATTTTCCCAACCCAGGGATCGAATCCAGCTCTGCCACACTGCAGGCAGACTCTTTACCAACTAAACCACCAGGGAAGCTCAACTCTTTCTAGTTCTGAAAGTTTAAATACCTCTGAATAGTATAAGTGTATTCTTTTTGGTTACCATTTCTCATCATTCTGTTGAGCATCAGTGATCCATGAAACACTGCCTGGGGGGAGACAAGAGTGTGGTCTAATCTTTGACCAAAAGCAACTTCTGGTCCAAGGAGGAGAAAGGAGATGTCTGCTAGAACAAGGTGTGAGGAAGTCTCCAGTGAAGGCTCACCAGAGTAGGGAGCCCAGAAGGATGTGTCGGGGAGTGGGAGGGGTGGGACAGGCTCTCCAGGCAGAGAGAGCAGCTTGTACAGGCTTGGAGGTGACTCAAAAGTTCTGGGGTCTTTATAAGAGAGCTGTACTTCAGCAAGGCAGGGATAAATCGAGTCTTAACTTTTCTCTGCTCCAAGCTGACCAGTTCTTACCCCTCTCCTCAAGACATTCTGTCTCAATGTGGGTCCTAGTGCCTACAGGAAGCATAGGAATCAGACTTGTCTTTTGTGTCCAGGTTAGAAGGAAAAGGTTCAAGTTTTCAAACTGAGATATCTATCCAAATGACAGGATATAATATTTATCACTTAAGACAGATGGTGACTTTAGTTTTAATAGCACTATAAAGGCCCAGTATGCTTCAGGAAAAAAGTCCTTCACACCCTCTGAAATGTGGAAACTTATGTGATTCCTAATAAAAGTTTAGAAATAGGTAATAGAAAGGATATTGGCATGTTGAATCCTCTCTAAGTCCCCCAAAAATGTGACTCCCAAGCATCCTGATGGAACTAGTGATGGGTTTACAGTTCCACTTGTGGATTCCATGGTGCACTTTGTTCTGACTCTGACTATGTGTCAGATGGGGCTTCCCCGGGGGCTCAGCAGTATTCACCGGCCAGCACAGGAGACTCAGGTTTGATCACCGGGTCGGGAAGATCCCCTGGAGGAGGACACGGCAACCCACTGCAGTATTCTTGCCTGGAGATCCCACGGACAGAGGAGCTGGTGGGCTGTGGTCCATGGGGGTGCACAGTCGGACACCACTGAGCGTGTCAGGTCGCCTTTTTCACCCCCAGACAGGATTCCTGTGACTAGTTGCTCTGATTCTACAGCACTGCCAGTTGTTTTTCCATCACTCTAGAATATCAGTAACTCTAGCAAATCTCTAAGTAGGTGATGTTATATTAATATCACACCTAACCCTTAGACTTGGCCAAAATGAAGTCCACAAGATGAATTGCAGACTTCAGTAAAAGCAGTTATGTACTTAACAGCACCAAAATTTTCCATTACAAATCTGTTTTTACTTTTTCTTAATTTAAAAAAAAGAAAAAGTGCCTTGAGGGGGCTTTGAATTTCTAAGCCTTCCAGATCAAAGATTTCTTCAGCTGTCTGAATTATAGGAATGTTGAAAAACAAAACCAAATCCTTTTCCTGCTATAAAATCCTTACCATATTTTTGTCTTTAAGTAACTCAAAACGGCTGAACTAAAAAATGAGGCTGGTGAGTTCTGAAAATTCATCAGAAATAGAGTAGTCAATAATTTTGAAAGTGTCATTCTAATTAATCTGACCCAAGAATAAATTTTACTAAATTCTTATTTGATAATCCAGGAAACTGCTAAATAGCACTTAGAATAAAACAACTCATGGCTAAGGATGCCAAAATGTTTTAAATTGTTTTTTAAAGTGATTCAAGACTAAGTTGTAATAATTTGGGCATGGTGGTAGGAACAGCCAGTGTAATTGTCCTGATTCTACTCACACCATTGGCTACATTATGTGTCCTTTTAGCAGCACAACCGGCCAATGATGAGCAATTTCAAAAGCTCTTGCAGAAAACATAGACTTTTATAAAGTAGTAGTTTATATGTAGTCATCAGTTTGCTAACATTTTCAGTATACAGCCTGACCTTCAGGATAAATGGCTTCTACCAGGGGGATGATGTTAACTCATTGGTCATCTGGTATAATAGACACCCTAACAGTTTATTCACTAGAGAAATCACATTATGCTCATAATCATGAAAAAACTAGATGGCAGATACAGTAAAAAGTACACGTTCTTTGCACGGGGCAGTAGCAACGGCTTACGTGCTTTCTGACATTTGAAGACTTAAGGCATTTTTTATGTAAAGAGGACACTTGATTCTAATTTCCTCCCATGTTACCTCTAAAAAGTTTTTAATAAGTTTTTTCTAAGTAGTTTATAAAGAAATAGAGAAAAGTTAGAAGACAGAAAAGTTAAAAAATTACAAACAGAAAAGAGTTTTAAAAATCCCACCATTGGCCTTTGTTTTATGTCACTAGAGTGACATTTTGTTGATTTTGTTTTATGAGAACGTATTTACATAATTGAGATCATGCTGCATACAGAATTTCTCTTTTCTTTTTCCTTAAAAAGAGTAGCATTAGTCTTAATGAATGCATGCTATTGCTTTACAACCATTTGGGGACATTCAAGTTGCTTCCAGTATCTTGCTATCATAAATAATGCTATAATTTTCATCTTTATACATAAAACTTTTCCAATATTGCTGTATTAGACAAAGGCTTTGGGTTGTAAGTCACAAGAAATCAATTCACCCTGGTTTAAGCAAATGCGGGAACGTAATAGGTTGGGTAACTGAAAAGCTGGGGATGGAGATTGGCTTCAGGCATGGCTGGATTCGGAGACTGAGCAGCATCTTCTAACATCTCTTTCCATCTTCCCTTCCTGATTTCATTCTCTTGCCTGCTCCTTCTCCTCTTCCTTTAGCTCTGTCCTGGTATTTCCCAGAGAATGCTCACAGCTGAGGCTCACTAAGATGGCTGGGGTCACACACACGTCCCTGAGCCTGTCACTGGGGCCAGGGCAAGGGGATGTTCCAGCTGGTCTACAGGACCTCCCCACCTCCCCCACCTGACTCTTCCACCACCCTCCCTCTGCCCACCTGGACCTCTGGCTGTTTCTGGAACCCTCCAGTCTGCCGTTCCTCCAGGGCCACAGCTCTGGTCCCCTGTGCCTCGCTCCCTCCGCCCCCATGGCTTGCTGTACCCTCACTGCCTTCAGGTCCTAACCGGGGACTGCCCTGACCACCTCCTCACCCTCTCGTCACTCTCCTGGCTGTTTCTCTTCATGGACGTATACCCACCTGATGCTGTTATATAGTCACATGGTATGTATTTGAGTTATTTGTCTCCTTCCAAGGGAACCATGAGGGCTGTTTGTTTGCAGCTCTCTCCAGCATCTAATATTTATCAAGTGAGTTAATGAATGAGTTTGCCAGACCAGGCATGTACCCGTCTGAAGGGTCAGCACGCCCTAAGGATAAGAAATGCCTGCAGGGATGATGTGATTCCTCAAAGAAAACCGGTGACCATCTCCTGATCAAGGGGGACTGGATCCAAAAACAGTGTCACATTTTTAAGTTCACATCACTTTCTACAAGGTCCCAGGAGTGGAATGTCAATGGATATGAATGTTTTGAATTTCCAGGTATGTGCTTTAGCCTTGTTGTTTAGTCAGTCATGTCTGACTCTGTGACCTCATGGACTGTATAGCCCTCCAGGCTCCTCTGTCCATGGGATTTCCCAGCAAGAAATACTGGAGTGGGTTGCCATTTCCTTCTTCAGGGGATCTTCCCAACCCAGGGATCGAACCTGCATCTCCCTGCATTCTTTACCATCTGAGCCACCAGGGAAGCCCTCATACTTTAGCCTTCCAGGCCCATAACAATCCTCCTCATGGTAGGCAAAATAATCTTAAATGCAGATCACATCATGCCCCCTACTTAAGCCCAAGAGCTCTCCACTGTACTTGAAATAAAAGAGCTGTGCCCTGGCCCCCCAGGCCCCGAATGCTCTGCACTCAGCCTTACTCTCTGACCCTCAGGCTATAGCACACTGGCTTGCTGTTCTGTCCTGGGCCCTCTCATTGCACCTCAGGATCCTTGTATTTTCTCTCCCCGCTGGCATGAAGGCCTATATCCCAGGTCTGGCCCGACAGCTACCGCTTCTGTCTCCTCCGAGCTCAGCTCCAATGTCCCCTCAGGAGGCCACCTAAACAGCCCCCATCACCCACACCCCAGCCTCTCCAGCAAATCTGTTGTGTCCTCTCTACTATATCAACACCCTTTTATATAGCACCTCATTTAATCTGTCTTCATCACTAGAATGTCAATTCCATGATGCCTGTCACTGTCCACTGCTGTATTCCCAAACTCAAAACTGGCATGTGGCATGTTAAAGGGATTTTAATTAATTGTTTTGGAAAAATTATGAAAAACTGCTTTTAGGAGGCTTGCAGCAATTAACACCCCCGTCAACAGTACGAGTACGCATCAATTTCTCTCTCACTGAAGCAGTTTTCTTAGAACAGTGCTCAAGAGATGGAATTCTGGGGGACCAACACAGCTTGAGCCCTGCAGGAGAAGCAATGGGATAGTTCTGTGGCACCCACTACTCCCGTTTGAACAGAGATTAGGTGCACTCTGGTATAGCCAGGTATGTTACAACAAGAGCCACCAATAGCATTTTATTTTCCCACCCAGTTTAAGTATAGCCTGAATCTTTATCCCCATTATGTAAGTGGGGAAAAAAAAAAAAAGATTCCTTTCTGTGGCAACTAGACTCCAGTGAACTTTCTAAACATATTACATTGAGTAAAAAATGGGTGAATAATCAGCTCGAGTGTCTGGAATGTGGATGGGCATCACTTCTGTGCATTCTCATCGCAAATTATCCAGTTGTGTTAATATTTTGAATTGCAGAACCTTTATTAATCTGTTCACTGGTGACATTAAAATGCATATATTTCTGTACATTAGTTTTTAAAAAGAACTTTAGGTTAAAAAAATGTCTTTCAAAAATAATTGATCTATATAAAAAGTATTTAATATAGAGAATAAGCACCTTTCAAAGGTAAAAGTCCCTGTGACATAGATAATACTAATCAAATCTCCCTTTACCTGAAAAGAATTTCTGTTTGATACAAAATAATATACTTCTTGTCTCCATCTTTTTCAGACAAACCTTCAGAATCACTCAATTTGGGGATCACACTTCATCCCGCAAAGTAATCATTGTGTGTGTGTTCTTCCAAAGAAGATACCGAATACAAAGTTTTGTAGTTTAAAAATAGCACCACTGGAGGAAAGGGATATGTCTTGTAAGTGCAAAGTCCCTAAACAAGTGATTGACCAAAATTCATGCTAACTAAATTTTGAGTGGTTGATTGTTATAACCTTCCTGTAATCTGGAGTGGAAAACAGAATAAAGTTAAAAAACAAAGCAAAACAGTAACTTTGAAGAATGAACACACACACACACACACACACACACACACCCCTGCCAGACTGTGTTCTTTGTTCCCTGCCAGTTGCATCACCAGTCAGCGACCTCCACCACAAAGGGCGTTTTCACATCTATCTTGCCGCTGTTGACGATGGAGCAGTTGGTGAGTGGACGGTCGTGCCCGTCAGTTGCCTGCAGTTCTATGGAGTGGACCACTGTCTGATGAGAGAAAAGGAGACCCATGGATCACTTCTGACCAGCAACTATGATGAGCAAGAGGTAAAATCAATGTGAAGTCTGAAAGCCCCGATGGGAAATAAGTTTTCGTTTTTTATGATTACAAAAACCACGCAAGCTAACTATGGAAAACTTAGGAAGTCTGTATATAACAGATAAAATTTACCTACTAGCTTACTAATCAGAGGGCATATCTGTGTATTTCCTCTCTTCTTTTTACTAGCAACCTAGCTCTAATGAAAAATATTTCTATTCACTTGTTACAGCCCAACTTATGAGTTAACATGGAATTTGAGATAATTTCAGCTCCACTATGTAAGAGGTCTAAGCATAAGAAAATGAACCAGAAAGCAGATTTAGTAATGGAGCTAGTTCTGGGTTTGTCCATTTTAAAGCTGACTCCAGCCAGTGACCTACAGGTTGTACATGTGTGTACCCAGTCATTTAGTGTCTGACTCTTTGCAACCCGATGAACTGTATGTAGCCTGCCAGGCTCCTCTGTCCATGGGATTCTCCAGGCAAGAATACTGGAGTGGGTTGCCATTTCCTCCTCCTGGGGATATTCCTAGTCCAGGAATTGGACCTGCATCTCTTGCGTCTCGTCTCCTGCACTGGCAGGCCGATACTTTACCACTAGAACCACCTGGGAAGCTGAATCTACAGGTTGAGTCTGATACTAATGTAACCTCTACCCCACGGGCTTCCCTGGCAGCTCAGACAGTAAAGGATGTGCCTGTAATGCGGGAGACCTGGGTTCTGTCCCCGAGTTGGAAAGATCCCCTGGAGAAGGGAACGCTACCCACTCCAGTGTTATGGCCTGAAGAATTCCATGGACTGTATAGTCCATGGGGTCATAAAGAATCAGACACGACTGAGCGACTTTCACTCACTACCCCACTGGTGGTACAAAGACCCCGTTCTCTGGTCTGGATGGTTTCACAGCCCATGGACCACTTTGTCTCATACAAGGCAAGGATTAAGCTAGTAGATCTCTAATGAGTTTCTAAAATAGGTTGAAACAAAATAGCAACAAAGTTTCTCAGTGCTTTGGACATGGTGTCAGCTAATCCTAACTAATTGAAGATAAAAGATCAGCATTCTTCTAATAATAATACATATTTCTAAATAGATTGTGTGTGTGGGTTCGTATGTGCATATGTGTACCTAAAACAGCAGCTACACACCTGAATGACCTGTGGCAGGTTAAAAACTGCTTATTTAATGGTTAAAATGGACATTTCTATGTTGGGTATATTTGACCACAATTTTTAACATGCTTGTTTGCAGGCCCACCTATGAAAGTTCTGATTCTACAAGTCTGGGGTGAGGTCCAGTGTTAAGAAAACCACCTAGACAATCTCTGAAGGGTCAGGAGGTGAAAGTCAGGAGATTGTGGAAATTCCTTGAAACTGTATGACACACACACTTTCTTATTTTCCTTCTAGAGAGAGTTTATAGTTTTCAATAGCTTCTTGAAGAAGTTTATGACTCATAAATGTTCAGGACTGTTTGTCTAGGACCAGGAAGCAGATCTCCCAGGATGCATGCCAATGGTGGAGGGAGGTTAATACAGCCAACCAGGGCACCAAGACATAAGATCCAGAAGACCAGAAGGAAAACCATGACCAGAAGAAGGAAGCCCCAAATGCGTACTCTTCGTTTTTCTTGCAGCCTAGCATTAAAGTGAAAGTGAAAGTGAAGTTGCTCAGTCATGTCCGAATCTTTGCAACCCCATGGACTGTAGCCTATCAGGCTCCTCTGTCTATGGAATTTGCCAGGCAAGAGCAAGGGAGTAGGTTGCCATTTCCTTCTCCAGGGGAATCTTCCTGACCCAGGGATTAAACGCAGGTCTCCTGCATTGCAGACTTTACCATCTGAGCCACAAGGGAAGCATTATGTTGTATTCAAAAATGCTCACTTGAATCAGTTTACATTTAAACTACTTGGAACCTGATTAGACTCAGCAGTCAAAACTCCAAACTGGTTTAACACATGCATGTCTATGTTTAGCTCATTTAAAAAGCAGAAAGAGGCTGGAGACTAGGATTCCTTGCTACTCAGAAGTACATTCTTTTGAGGACACTGGCTCATGAAAATGTAGGCATGTCCTTCACTGTGATGAGACCTAAAGTGATATATTAACTGACAGATGTTTGCCCCAATTGCTTCTCATCCCACTTATTGTTTAATCATTGTGTCCAACTCTTTGGGACCCTGTGGACTGTAGCCCGCCAGGCTCCTCTGTCCATGGGATTTCTCAAGCAAGAACACTGGGGTGAGTTGCCATTTCCTTCTCCAGGGGATCTTCCCAACCCAGGGATCAAACCTGCATCTCCTGCACTGGCAGGCAAATTCTTTTACTACTGAGCCACCTGGGAAGCCCTATCCCACTTGCCAGTGAGAATTATTTGACAGTTCTGGTTGAACACATCTTTGCCTTGTAAGGGAGGTTGAGTCAGCCAGCTCAGTTCCTGCCCTTCTGTTGGGTAGAATCAGAATAACAGGTAGAAGTTATGGGAGAACTGCAGTGAGTGAGATTAGTCTATTTATATTTGGATGAGTTCACATGAAAAACAATGAAATATGGCAGAGGGAAGGGACTCAAGGATGCTCCAGGATTGTACCGGGCAAACCTTACAGCTGCCAGTTGAGCTGGAAGAGCATCTCTGGGCAGCTGCTAAGGAGGAGAAATGCAGGGAGTGGAAGAGAATGAGGATTTTAAGAAGTCTTCCTGTGGATTATGAGTTGGACGCCTTTAATGTTCTTTGAGACATGGGAGCATAAATTTGAATTCTCTTTAGGAATTCTGGTTGTTATACTGTGTCTTTGAAAGTGACTTGTATCTGTACTGAACTACATGGACCCAGGGTTTTTAAAAATATTTTGAAATTGTGCTAAGGAACACATGGAGAAGAAAATGGCAACCCACTCCAGTATTCTTGCCTGGAAAATCCTATGGAGAGAAGAGCCTGGCAGGCTACAGTTCATGAGGTTGCAGAGAATCAGACATGACTGAGCAACTGAGCACAAGAAATACATAACATATAATTACCATCTTAGCCACCTCTAAGTGTAACTTTAAGTTCATTAGTTTAAGCATATTCACATTATTGTGCAACTAAATCTCCGGTATTTTTTCATCTTGTAAAACTGAAGATTCATAGAGATGCTCATTGAACACCAGCCCCCCATTTCTTCACCCCCCAGCCCCTGGAAACCATCATCCTGCTTTATGTTTCCATGTATTTGACCACTTTAGATTCCTCATTTGATTGGAATCATAGTCTTTTTTGTGACAGGCTTACTTTACTTAACATGACATTCTCAAGATTTATCCATGTTCTAGCAAGTGACAGGACTTCCTTCCTTTTTAAGTTGAAATGATATTTCATTGTACCTGCAGGATTTCATTTGGTTACATTAAAATGAGTTTCCAATTATATCTAATAGTATGATAAATTAAGGACTCAACTCTTCACTGTCAAGTCCCCGTCCCCCACCCCCGCAGCTTCCGCCCCAATACTCCTAACAACTAAAATACCATGTGTCTGTGAGTTAAGTTGCTTCAGTCATGTCTGACTCTCTCTGAGTCTATGGAATGTAGCCCAAGAGGCTGCTGTGTCCATGGGATTCTCCAGGCGTGAACACTGGAGTGGGTTGCCATGCCCTTCTCTAGAGGATCTTCCCAACACAGGGACTGAACCCACGTACCATATATACTTTATTCACCTTTGAAGAGGCCAGTCAGCACATAATTATGGCTCTCTTAGAAGCATCATTTGAGAGCAAATCGCTAAGAGTACTTTCATTATAAAGCTTTGAATGAGAAAAAATAATATATCAAGTTACCATTCCATCGAGGACTTTTCCAAATACCACATGTTTGCCATCCAGCCAGGTGGGCTTGGTCAAGGTGATAAAGAACTGAGAGCCATTGGTGTCAGGCCCAGCATTGGCCATGCTGACCCACCCAATGCCATAATGCTTCAGTTTGAAGTTCTCATCTGGGAATGTCTCACCATAAATGCTTATACCTGGGTGAGACAAAACAAAAAGGGTAGAGTCAACAGATGTTATACAAAAGTAAATTCTTCAAAGGGAAGTGTAAGGTTTGAGTAGAGGTTAAGAGAACCCTATAGAAGATGGGGATTAGGAAAAGATGGTCAAACATAAAAAGAAATTAAGCAGAGAATAAAATTCACTTCTTAAGGAAACAGATCACCAGGGACCAAAAGAAACAAACAAAAGCCTTAAGTATGACACAAGATGGCAAGATGCCCTCTGGCCTCAAACAAAGACCCAAACCTTGACCAAGCAAGTCAGTGATTTCACTTTGAAATGAGAAGGAATGGGAGGGCAGGATGACATCGTAATGTCTGATGGAATGATGGGTAAGCCATCATAGTGACCCCATCTCTGTCTTGAGGGTCAGGTCACTTGTCCTGGGTCACTCATACCTCAGCAGCCAAGCCAACTGCAATATGCACTTAATATACACCCTTAGCCAATCCTCATGACAGTCCTATAGGATAGGTTCTCTCATTCCCATTGTGAATGGGAAACTTATCAAACTTATCAAATGGGAGCTTATCAAACTTGAAAAAGTAAAACTTGGAACTTCTGGCTCCAACGCTGGTTCTCTAAGCACTTAGAGCCTCAGTACTAAGAAGAATAGTGCCAGCCTGGGAGTCATTAGGCTTGATGACTTCAGGGTACAGAGGGTGACAGCAACTGGGAGCAGCCAGGGAGCCAACCTTGAGCCAAAGGCGGGCATGGGGTCTGGAGATCTAGCACAGCACATTTCCCTATAAAACAATGGTGCAGACCATCTGCTCCATCCCCCAACCCTGAGTGCCTGTGAAACCCAACTCCTCTATTGCAGGCCACCTTATCCATCAGTGGCCAACCTTAAAGTCCTGGCTCAGTTAGCTCTCATGTTATCTCCTTCTTACTATGCAGTACTTGTGAAAGACCAGGCAAAACAGTTCCTTAAGACTTGGGTCTTACATGGGCACTTTTCTTCATTCATATACAACCAAAACCTCTTCATAACTAACAGAGTTAACTTTTCAAACAGGTTATCTAGAAAGTGTTGCAATAGAGGAATAGTAAGGACATTCTGTGAACCCTGATGGTTTTTTTTCTTAAAGTGTACATCTTAAGATATATGGCTTCTAAATAAATAACTGGGTATTTTAACAACTTCATTGATTTGTAACTCTTATATTTATCTGAGTAACTAATATTTAATAACTTAAGAAACCCTGCCTTTTTTTTTTTTTCTGGTAGAAGAAGTCAAATATAATTCATCTTCCTAAGGGGGGGAAAAAAATCCAATCCTGGCTCAGTTAGAAGGACCAGAAGTGAATACCAAAGGTAAGCAATTTATAGCTGGTTGGTAAGTGACAAATGAAGTGGCCTGGAAGGAAAGTTCTGCCTACAGAGAGGTCTAGGCTAAATTTAAATGATCCAAAAGGTCCTATCTCCAAAACTCAGAGAATTTTAATTGTGTACATGCATGTGCACACATGCGCACACACACACAGCAGAGGGAGAAAGAGAACAGAAGAGAGAACACAGTGAAGTTCCATCCCCATTCCTGCCGGGCCTCAGGAAGGACGGTGGGGTGCCAGTCCCGAGCAGACCAATACTGGAACTGCAGGCTTCCCCACCGGAGACCCACCTCTGCAGCAGCCCCATCCAGCCAAGTAACCTGAACATGTTCCTCTGCTCCAGTCTACCTTCCCATACCCACCAGCATTTCCACGGGTGTCTTGGCAAATCCAAGCATTCAATGACAGCCACTTCGTTATTTAAAAACCAGTGCAGGAAACATAAAATTAACAATAATGCTTCAAAATGGCTTGTTTCTTTAAAACGTTAGCCATTTACTATCTATCAAACCCAGTATTTGCTGAATTAAAAATTTTAAACCTGAAGTAAATAAAAATTCAGTGTAGTTCCATATTGTATGTATGTTCAGGAAAAGAACTCACTACATTTCTGAGGAAAAGACAGACCAGGGAGCTGGGCAGCTGGAATCCTCACTGATAAACAATAAGATATATTTGAAATTCTATAAACTGAATTATGGGTTCTTTATTGAATTCTAATGATGTTGATAAAAATTATACTGTAATTGTGACAAGTGGTCTATTACTTAATTTTTTACTACTGCAGAAGCTGATGATAGAAACAGAATTTTGAAAGAAGGAGGTAAATTCACCTGTGATCCTGCCACCTAAGTACCAGTCTCATCATTCTGGCATGATGAGACTTCTGGACCACCACGCCCGCCCCCCCCCCCCCCCCCACCGCAAAATGCACTCCTGCAGCTGGAGTCCCCCCCAGGGAACATGGCTTTTCCTTGCTATGACAGACATCGTTCCATATTGCTTCATACTGGGAGTCTAGGATTTTCATAACTGCAAAACAGCCTACTAAATGAATACATCTCCATTAAAGAAGGATAATGCACACCCAAGCAAAGACGGTTTAAAATTAGGAGGCCTCACTCATTCGCACCTGCCAAGATTTTGTTAGATGAGGCCCCCCCGACCAAAACCTCTTATCTTTCTGCAAGAATTAGTTTGTCTTTCTGACTTTGTTCCTTCAAGCTGGGAGCTCAATATGCTGGGTAAACATATCATCTTGTCTTAGGTTTCACTTGGGAAAGCGAGAAAGGAACCATTTAAGAGATGACGTTACCACCGGTGCCATCTCCTCGGGTGAAGTCTCCTCCTTGAATCATGAAATCTTTGATGACGCGATGAAATTTGCTTCCTTTATATCCATATCCTTTCTAAAGAGATTATGTCAATTGAATACACAAGCAGATACAACCCATACTGTAAGATAAACCCCAGTGTTTATCTGGAAATGACAAAATGAGAAAATTACACAAAATATCTACAGAACTAAATTAGGTACCTACAATAGCTTACTGACAGATATTTATCATTAGCTGACTGAAAAATAAATAAACTATGGAAGTAAAATACTAACATGCACAAGTAAAAGAGAGAGTCTGCATTTTCACTTCATGACTGTTTCACTTTCTAGAACCCTGAGGAAACTTGAGTGCTTAAAGAATACAGATTTTATAGAAAAACAAAGTAAAATATTATTAGATGTCTCAGGTTCATCTCATCTACTAATTTAATACTTATTTTCCCAGGTACAACTTTTTTTTTACATTTAAGTTTTTTTTAGTGTATTTATTTTTAATTGGAGGATAATAGTTTTACAATATTGTGTTGGTTTCTGCCATACATCAACATGAATCAGCCATAGATATACATATGCGCCCTCCCTCTTGAACTTCCCTCTCACTTCCCACCCCATCCCACCCCATAGGTTGTCACAGAGCCCCAGTGAGTTCCCTGAGTCATGCAGCCAATTCCCACTGGTTATCTCTTTTACATATGGTAGTGTATATGTTTCCATGCTATTCTCTCCATTCATCCCCCAGAATACATCTGTATTCCATCCTTAAAAGGAGGAAGATTCAATTCTGTGCACAGTTGAAAGGAATAAAACTGAGACATACCTCTCCTGTTGCCAGAGCGACAAAATTTTCCACAGTCTTGGGCACGACTTTTCCAAAGAGGCCAATTACGATTCTGCCAACATCTTTATCTCCAATCCTCACATCAAAGAAGACCTGCATGTGGTTGAAAGGTGGAGCACAAGGTCACATGGTGGAAAAGCCACAATACAAGGTGAGTGAATATGACAGTCTGAGAACGGACACACAGGTGAGGGCCCTGGCCACCAGCATTTTATAAAGGAGGGGGTGAAGGAGCAAGAGATAAATTAAAGGAGTTCTGAAACCATTTTTGTGGGTGCATTTCACTCACAAATATTCATTCACCAAACAGTTATGGAGCACCATCACTGAGTCAGACACTGTACTAAGAACTGGGTTTAAAGTTGGACTCAGTACTGTCCGAAAGAGCCAGTAACGTCTTCAAGAATCCCTCTCCCCCAAGGACCCCAGACACACACTGCTGTCACCTCCTGTTTCCTAGCTCTGTGGACAGAGCTAGGGGTTGAGAGTGGAGACTGCTGTTCTTCTGAAAGGTGATGCTCTCCAGTCTTGGCAGGAGAAGAAAAACTGGTGAGGAAAGAAAGAGTCTAACCGTCCAGATTTTTTTTTTGCAACTTTGAGCAGCGCCAAATTCCCAATGAGTTCTCAATAGATGTCTGCTGTCAAGGGGCCTGTGAAAGATGATCAAAACACACAGCTCCAGAAGGCCTGCCACTCACATCCAAACACAGTACAACACCCGGGCCTCCACTCGTCCTAAGTACAGCAAACACTGCACGCTGGTCCTGACAGAACCATTTACCCTGTACACTTGACACCGAATCCGGTCCTCACGTTCCCAAAGTTGCCCAAGTAGAATGTGCCCTTTCTCTGTCACAACATTTTAAAACAGAAGAGAACAAGCATGCCTCCAGAAGTTAGTCGCTTCTTTCTTTGCAGATAAGCCTTAAAAGTTCTCTTGGACTTTTTTTTAACTGTTTCACCTAAAACAAAATTATATACATTCTGCTTCACAAATCACTGTGTTAAGATGATTTCGAGACAGAACATTTGAAAAGGCCGCAGAGTCGAAGGGCATTCTGTTAGCAAGTTTAGATTATATGAACCAATTCACTATTTGAATGGGTAAAAAAAAAAAAAAGACATTCAAGAGATGACTTTAAAAAAAATTTAAGAAGGTGTCAAAGAGAAAAGATGTCATATAGTTTAGAAAAATCGCAAAGTAAAGACTGTCAAGCTTTAGCTCAAGACAAGAGCCTCTGCCAATACATCAGGATGTCTGTCACAGGATGATGTGATATTTAGTGTTCCCTGTGGCATTTTGCAATTTTACATGGCCAGAGCTGTAAAAAACTGTGTTATTATTATTTTATGGTAAAAGTTTAGAGAATGCATAAAAGACCAAGCCCTTGAGATTGGGCAGTGCAGTGAAGAAGGATGATTCAGGAAGCTCCATTAATGCCTGCAAGAGCCTGGCATGCAGAACTGGGATCAAAGAAGCAGTTCTCCAAAGGGATTTCCAAACCAAGGAGTAAATTCAGTAACAGGCAATAATGAAGAGACTCCAGGACAAGAACTGGGTATGTAATCATAAGGAAGCACCACATGAGCCTGCCAGACTTTTAAAATAAAGAAGAGAAAAGAAAGCCTGTGAACATTTCAACAGCAAAGAGAATAAAATGTGGGAGGACAGCATGAGAAGATGAAGAAAAAGTGTTTATGTCACCCAGCGTAACTCTCCAATAACCATCTTGTTTTCCTACATGCGGCCTAGCACACGTATTAAGAAGATGTTTTTTTCCCCAAACCACAGCATCCTTCAACTTCTTGCATGATGGCATGAAAATGCAGCAGAGTTGCCCTAACTAATGGAAATGATAAAATCAAATCTTATTAAGTACTTGTCAAAGGTCTCGGCAGAAGGCAGTGTGAGGGTATAAGTGGAGGAAGTCCCTGTCCTCGGGAAGATTATGGAAAGAGACAGGCCAAGTACATGAACACCCATAGCTCAAGGCTGCGGGTGACAAGTGCCCCAAGAACACTGAATACCAGTGTGCTGGAGGGATGCTGAGGGCTGAAGGAAGGCATCCTGACAGAGGTGTGATGGGATGCAAGCCTGGAAGGAGGGGAGCACCCTCCAGGGACAAGAATGGGCACAAGCCCCGCCTGGCAGTTCTTTCTGGAACCAAAGCACTGAGGCAGGAAAAGGGATCCACGTGCAGAGAAGTGACAGTACCCTTCTGACCACAACCGGCTGGGAAGGAAGATCACCCATTTCAGAAGGCAGAGGAAGGATGCTGGCTAAGAGTTCCAAGTTTCGTTAGGCAATACCAGGAACGTGAAAGACAGAATTTCAATTTGAAGCTGCGTTCACTTGGGCTGTGATTTGTCATGAATGTGGCTCTCTCTGTCTAGGCAATTTCTACCTGAAGGGGTGGAAATGGCATTTTTAGATCCCCAGTGCCCAGCACAGTGTCAGCTCAAGCAGGTACTGAAAAAAGAAAAGTCAGGCAATACTGAATGAAGACCAGAGCATACGCACACCTAAACAGATGGTAAGGTGGGCCTGGGGTGGCTGCCAGGCAAACCCTCTTACCCTGAGATCATCTCTGACTTTGCTGCCTGTCCTTGGGAACAGGCCCTGTGAAAGGGATGAGGCTGCAAAGTCCCACAGAAGAGAAAGCACAGAAATAGTCACTGTGATGGGAAGTCAAGCTTTAAAAGAAGGTATGTACAAATAAAATGTCATGGTGAGAGGTGATGATTATCTGTGGAGATCAGGGCAGGCTTCCTGGAAAAGGTGGCACTTCAATTCCACATTGCACTTCTAGAGCTGGCCCCTTGGTCCCTCCTTTTTTCCCTTGAGGCTGCCCTTGAAAGTCATTTGAAAATTATGGGGCACTGGAGGGTGGGAAGAGACGGGGGAAGAGGCAAGAGGACCTCTCAGAGCCTGCCCCAAACCCTTGCAGGGTTAATTGTGCTTCTGTTTCCGAAGTAACTGGAGAAGCACCAAGTGCAGGAGCCTGGAGGTCAAGGAAATTGTTCTCAAACCAGCTCCACCACTTACTGACCACAGGACCCTGGGCAACTCTGAGCCCCTGCTCCTCATCTGTACCTGCCCTGCCCCAGAAGGATTAATAAGATAACACAAATAACACTAACAGTTGACCTCTTAAATCAGGAACTTCAATCAGGGCTAAGCACTTTACTTGCTCTATCACATCTAATATGCAAAACCTTGCCAGCAGGTATTATTTCTATTTCCACTTACAGAGGAGGAGCCTCGGGTATTCTCAGTAACTTGTTAGTACTTCAGCTGAAGCCTCTTGGCCACTCTGAGAACTGCAGAAAGGGACAGCAACCTGTGACTTGAGCACAGCTGGAAAGATGGCAGCATTATTTTACACTCTCAGGTGCCTGACGCGGCACAGAGCCCATGGCATCTGCTGGAAAATGCAAGGGTGCAAATGCCAACTGAGTGGGTTTCAAGACCAGTGAGGCTCCGAGACTGGGCAAGAAGCTGAGGTGGTGGCCGGCACCAAGATTCACAGACAAGAAAGGGCCCTGGGAAGGACAGCACTTCATACCTCTCATTTACAGATTCCTGTTTTCAAACACTCTCAGAGGAAAGCTAAAGACTGCTGGGGAAAACACACAATACACTAGAGTGATAGCCAATTCATCTACTTGTCCACACTCAGAGAAATCATTTTCAGTATTTCCACTTCCCAACAGAGTAGTTGTCTTAAAATGCCCCACTGAAAAAGTGATTTAGCAGAGTCGAATCTGTGGCAGGACATGCCTGCACAGTTAGTTTTTAGAACTTAATGATAAAAAGGGTGGGGAAAAAAAGGAGATAGTGTTAAGTGACTATCCCAAACCTATAGAGTGCATGAAAATTCACTCAGTGACTGCACCCTGGCTAAGAAGCCCCACTCTTTTTCCCCTCTCCCTGAGGTTCCCAGCCACAGTTCATTTATCACTAGACACACACCCCCCCCCCCCAACCCCACCTCAAGCAGGGCCTTCCTTTTCACTCTTGGGCTACATCAGGTGTTGGGCTGAACCTCTCCAGCCCCAAGTCCTCCCCACTCCTCCGGTGGGGTCTGCAGTGGAGGACTGAAGCACCCAACACTGTCATTTCTACTGGCAGACAGGGGGCCGATTGTTAAGACCACCTGCAGCTGCTCCTCCTTCCACATTCCAAGACACTCCTGCCAGTGGGTTTTCTAGAAGTGGTGATCAAGGGCACCAAATCACTCTTTTCCTCCCTCTGTCTCTCCAGGCATCCTCCCATTATCTTCTAACCTTGGGTAAACATGCTGAAAAAAGACCTGAAGCTGTAAGGAGGCAGATCCCCACCCCACCACCTCCCATCGAGATTTAAAGACTGGCCTCAGTCATGCAGGGTCCTCCTGGGCCTCGCTCAACAGCACCCCAAGCCCTGTGTCTACTCCCCAGTCTGAAAAGCGCACCTCTCCCTCCCTGGCGGGGATTGATGGTGGTTCCTAAACGCGGAAGGGAGGACAGTCCTTGGTTAAGCAAGGCCACGTAACGCCTACCCTACCGCAAGCGACAGGGACTGGACCTGGGCTCTGCGAGGCCGGGTGACACCCGCGGGGGCGGCCCAGCTGCAACCCCTCCTCTCTGGCGCGCCTCCTGCGCTCGCCAGCATTCTTCCTGCCTCTATTCCCAAGTCCCCGCCGCGCCGAAGGAAGTCCTCGGCTGTCTCCTCCCTAGAGAAAGGGCTCGCCGGTTCCGGAAGCTTCTCCCAGCTCGCGGGCTGGTGGCCACGTCGGATCACCAGCCCAGGAGATGACGCTCAGACAGTCCGCGGCGGAGGCGGACTCGGCCTAGCGCCCCTAAAGTCTCCCAGGAGAGCGAGGATGCCCCCCACACACTTGCGCGCGCGGGAACCCCCACCACTACCACCTAGCCCCGGGGCCGCCTCCCATCCTCTGCGCCTGGGAAGCCCCCTGATCGCCGCCCCTGACCCTGAGGTTCCAGTCCTCAAAGCTCCCCCATCCCCCCGGGCAGCACGAGGGGATCTTGCTGCCCGCTGCCTGGTCACCTTGGCCGTCACCGAGGGGCCTCGCTTGCGGAAACCCGAGGCTCCCGCGGACGGTAGGAGGGCGCTGAGCCCCACGCAAAGCACGAGAAGTAGCAGCAGCCGGAGCCCCGGGCCCATGATGAGCGGTGGCGGTGGCGGTGGCGGTGGCGCGAGCGGCAGCGGCTGGGGCGCGACCGCAGACTCCTGGACCGCGGGCGGGACTCCTGGCCGGCTGCGCCTGCGCTCTCCCGGCTCGAGGGGCGGGCGTGATGCAGACGCGGCTATCCGGGCAAGCCCGGAACCTCGGGCGCCTCCTCCCAGGTTCAGCCCAGCGACCCGAGCTAGGGACTCGGAGAGGCGCGCCACGGAGCGCGGAGCCGAGGCCAACCGCCGCGCGGATGGAGGGTGCGCTGCAGGGCGCGGGGATCCAGAGCGAGCTGGCGCCGCTCGGATGATGCCTGCTCGGTCCGGAGCTGAGGGATGCACGCTGGGGCATCGCCGGGAACTTAACAGTGTAGACGCGTATTAAACCTGATGGAAAGTCGAGGACTCTCCGGGCTCCGGATCATCCTGGCATCTTGCTTGCCGCGACGGGTCCCCCTCTGTGACCGCAGCCTCCGTTGGAGCCGAGCAGCCTCTGCCAAGTCTCCTGGGTTCCAATGTTCCATCAGAGGCTTTAGCTAAGTTCTGGACTCCTCTCAGAACTCTTGAGACCCTGGATGTTTCTACTCGATTACACAGGACGAATGACCTCTAACTGAGATGATTCAAATTGGGCATATACTTTTTACAAACTTAAAAATTATGTTTAGGAATTAATGACATGGGGAAATACTCATATTTTTGAATGGAAAACTCATGTTGCAAAATCGGACCTCGATTGTGTAAATGTATAAAGGCATTTTAAAAACGGAAAGAAATGTACCAAAACATTTACAGTAGCTATGGTGATAGAATAATGGGTTTTTGTTTTCTTTGTAATTTTCTGATTTCCCAGATGTTCTACATTGAACATGTAAGTATTTCATAATCAGGAAAACGTTTTTAAAACTCAATGCTGTTTGCCTTAGGACTTCAAAGAACTTTTTTAATGTAATAGAGCCAAAATTAACTACAAATTAATGATAGTTTTCTCTTGGTTTTCTTAGGGGCTAGTGCCATGACTTTCAAGCCAAGGTTTTCCTTGAGTAAGCAGATAGGATTCCTGTGTGTAACTAAGTGTAGTCTAAAATTACACTGGAACCATTTATTATGTATACAAAGGGTAACCACCACGTTTGAAGGCTGGGCAGAACACTTGTGAGCTATTTTGATATTTCAGTCCGGTGAAGGATCTAATGGCTTACCTCATCACTCTCACCCCCAATAAAGAAAGAATCCCCCTTTTGTAGCAAGCTAAGGGTATCAGAAGGCTTATGCCTGGATTTATTTCTCCTGATTCAAATCTAGTACAATGTCAGGTATATAGTGATTTCTCAACAAATATTTGTTCGGGCTGCATATGTAAAAAAAAACCAAAACACCACAAATATTTGTTCAGTGAGTGAGTGTGTCTGTCTCCTTAAATTTTTACATTTGGAAGATTAATACAAATAGAAGTGAACCAAATGTACATGTACAAATCAACAAATTATCAAAAAGCAAATACAGCTAGAACCCCACATATCTAAAGAAATGAAATATTCACTAGCTCTCTAGAAACTCCTCTTGTGTTCACTTGCAGTTGCTAACACTTTCTTCTCCCTAAATTAACCATGATCCTGACTTCCAATAAGGTTTAGTTTTAACTTTGTGTGACTGGAATCTTACATGTTCTTTTTGCTCAAATTTATGAAATTCATCCATGATTTTGTGTGTAGCTATTTTGATGCATAGGACAAGCTAGGGGTCGAATTTTTTTCCATATGAATTCCATTGTCTCAGCATAATTTATTGAAAAGTGACTTCTTTACTTATTGCTCTGTAATGCTACTTCTGTCATGGAATAAGTGTCCCTACATATATGGGTCTGTCTGTGCACCCTCTTTTCTGTCCCACTGACATATTTGTCTGTTTTCATGCCAACACCACGTTGTCTTAATGAAAATAGTCTTATAATAAGTCTTCATAGTTAATAGTAGAAGTCCTCTTACTTTGTACAATAGATTTCTGGCTATTCTTGACCCTTTCTGTGTTCATATAAACTTGAAAATCAGCTTGTCAGTTTCCATAAAGTGGGATTCTAATTGGATTTGCATTGCATGTATACCTCCTTTTAGAAAGACTTGGCATATTTGTAATATTGGGTCTTCCATTCATGAACATGACATATTCCTCCATTTATTTCCCTCTTCTTTAATTTCTCTCAGTAAGATTTCATAGTTGTCTGTCTAAAAACCTTATAAAAATATAATGTTAAGTTGATTTCAAGGTATTTTGTCTTTGTTTTTTTTTTGCTATTGTAAATTATATCTTTTTAACATTTATTTACCTGTTTGTTAGTATTATATCATAGTAAAAGAATTGTGTATATTAATCTTGAATAGGCTAGTTTGTTAAACTTATTAATTACAATGATTTATCTGTGAATTATTTAGGATTTTCTACATAGACAACTATATTATTCATAAATAATGAGTTTTATTCCTTCCTTTCTAATCTTTATACCTTTTATTTCTTTTTCTTGCCACTAGGACCTTGAGTAGAAAAAGAAGTGACTATAGAATGAGTCCTTGTTTGGGGGGTTAAATTTTGCCCTCAAATGGGTACATCAAAGTCAGAAACCCCAGTATCTGTGAATGTGACCCTATTTCCAAATAGGGGCTTTTTTTTGCGGATGTAATCAAGTTGAGATCCTATTGAAGTAGGTTATGTGACTAGTGTCCTTGTAAAAAGAGGAGAGATAAAGAAACCCCCCCGGGGGAAACACCATGTGAAGACAGAGAAAGTGATTGGAGTGGTACATCTATGAGTCAAGAAATGCCCGGGATAGCTGGCAACCACCAGAAGCCAAGAAGAGGCCAGAAAGACCCTCCCCTAAGGAGAACATGACCCTGTCAGCACCTCATTTCGGACATCTAGCCTCCAGAACTGTGAGACAATACATTTTTGTTGTTTGAAATGATCCCAGTTTGTGGTACTTTGTTATGGAAAGTCTAGGAAACTAATAATACACTCGTCTGTCCTAATGCCAGAGGAAAAGCTTTCAATATTTTACCATTAAGTCTGATATTTGCTGAATATTCTTTTGAGTGAGGATATCCTTTTTCAGCTTAACAGAATTCCTTTTTAGTCCTGATTTGTTAAGAGGTTTTGTCACAGATTTGATCAACATCATGTACTGAAAGCAACCAGAAAAATCACATGATTTTCCCTTACTCCGTTCATGTGAATTGCATTGCTTTTCAAATCTTCAGCCATCCTTGCTTTCAGGAATACGCCCAATATATATTAACCTTTTTTTATACTGCTGTATATGTATATAAAGCAAACTTAACAAGAACTGAAAAAAGGCATTTCTCCTGAAATGAAGTTCAGGAAAAAATGCCAGTAAATAAGTTGATTTGGCTTTCCAGTTCAGGCCAAGCAAATCACCAGCTTTCCATTTTTATGTTAATGGGTAAGTTTGCTATTTTTGTTCAGAATATTTACATCTATATTCACAAATCAGACCAGCTTAAAAATTTCCTTTTGGGGATTTCCTGTCAGTGTTGTTGGTTTTTTTTTTGGGGGGGGGGGGTCAGGATTAATTTAGCACCTTAACATGAATTGGCAAATGGTAGGGGGTTTTGCTATACTCTGAATAGATTTGTGAATGATTGCCATTATTTCTGCCTTGATTGTTTCTTTCAAGCCGTCTGTGCCTAGAGTTTTCTTAATTGTAGTTTTAAATTATAGGTTAATGTTTTTAATGATTGAAAGCTATTGAAATTTTGTATTCTGTCAATTTTTACATGTATATTTTGAGAAATTTACTTCATTTATATTTTTAAATTTATTTACATAAATTTGTTTAATACATCTTTTTATAATTTTGTAGATCTGCAGGACTTACAGTAAAGGTTTTTTTCATTCCTGACATTGATTGTTTTTACCTTTTTTTTTTTAGCAGCTCCATCAAATGAGCTTAGGATTATAATATGTTTGATTTTATTTCATTAGTTTAAGTCTTCATTTCTTCCTTCTCTTTCTTTGAGTTTAATTTCCTATGATTTTCTATCTCGTTGAAATAGACTATTTTTTTTTCACCTAGCAGTATGCATTAACATTTCTTCCCTATCATTTAATGGCTTAATAACTCATTTGTTTTTTTATTGCTGGATAGCTTTCCACTGTATGCTATACCACTGTTTATCCATTTACCTACTAAAGGACGGCCCTTGATTGCTTCCAAGTTATGGAATTATGAAAAAAGACACTATTAACTCTATATATAAGTTTTTACACAGGTGTAATTTTTCAATTTCAATAATTGAAAAATTATCCAGTTTTTCAATTGGATAAACACCTTGTAGAGTGATTGCTGGATCATACGGTAAGAGTATGTTTCATTTCATAAGAAATTGCCGCACTGTCTTCCATGGTGACCGTACCAGCAATGAGTGAGTTCCTGTCGCTCCACATCCTTGCCAGCATTGGGTGGTGGCAGTGTTTTCAATTTTAGCTATTCTAATAGGTGGGTGTTTGTGTGGCAGGGTTGCGGGGTGGGGAGGGTGGGTGTAATAATTTAGCTCTTAATGTTGTGTAAGCCGAATTTTTTTTTTTCTTAAATGCATGAATAACAACATTCCTGAGAAGAAAGAATCCTGAAAACAATGACACAAAGCACTTAGGTTGTGTTTTTTTCCATTTGTTTAAACTAAAAACAAAACCAAGAATAAGTTACTCATTTCTCCCATCACCTACTCCCACTGCTGGCAATCACCATCTGTTCTCTGTATGAGATTAGTTTTTTGTTTGTTTGTTTGCTTTTGGTTTTTTAAAGATTCCACCTATGAGAAATCATGTGATGTTTGTCTTTCTCTCTCTGATTTATTTTCCTTAATTCATCAAATTTTTTAGCCTTTCTTCTTTTATATCTATGTGCAATTAAAATGATAAAATTTCCCTTAAGCAGCACAATTTTAAATGCTTTCCACATCTAAAATTTTGATATGTAG